CACATTCAGCACTGTTAATACAGTATTCATCACATTCAGTATTAATACAGTATTCATCTCATTCAGTATTAATACAGTATTCATCACATTCAGTACTGTTAATACAGCATTCATCACTTTCAGTATTGTTAATACAGTATTCATCACATCCAGCACTGTTAATACAGCATTCATCACTTTCAGTATTGTTAATACAGTATTCATCACATTCAGTACTGTTAATACAGTATTCATCACTTTCAGTATTGTTATACAGTATTCATCACTTTCAGTATTGTTAATACAGCATTCATCACTTTCAGTATTGTTAATACAGCATTCATCAAATTCAGTAGTAATTACAGTATTCATCATACTGTATTTATCACATTCAGTATTGAGTTCAGTATTCATCAGGTGCTTAAACTGTTCACAATTAAATTCTAAAACTAATTACATAAACATTTATGTAAAAGAAATATTTAAAACCTAATCATTATTTGTTTTGTTTGTGTTTCAATATCAATAGTACTATGTTAACAAATTCATTTAATAGATAAGCATCCTGGATTTAATCCGCACAAAACATACTGAACATTCTCATGATGTTGAGCCAAATGAAATTCTACCATTCTTTTCGAAAGGCCTGCCAAGCTTTATCCACACTGGCTCAGATATAATTGAATGTTCAGAGAAGCAGAACTCATATCCCCTCCTGGCGCCTTTCAAAACCAGCGAAAACCTAAGCTTCCCTTTGAGATGGTCAAATTAATCAATGTGGTCATTTCAGAAGGGACTGTAAGGCATAAATATCATGAATGATATGTCATCATAGATATGCATGATTTGGGCACGGCGCACAAATTGTCTGGCAACAGCCAATATTTTTTTATTCGGGTAAACAAATCAATACCAGCAAGAGAGTTCTGAAAACAATGATTAAATTTATTCCATTTCAATATCACTGAGGTAATTATTGGAAATATAATCATATTTTTTTTTTAATTTTGTGTGGAGGCAGTTGTAAATGAAAATATTTTTATTTTCCATTTCCTCCATATTGCATAACAGGCTGATGTACTCTGCAGTCAGTTGGAAATATGGGATCTGGGCCCCGTTCCTCAAAGCGATCGTAGCGCTAAGGTGATCGTAACTCCCATACTTTAACATAGACTTATGACTGTGCGTGGTGCTACGATCGCTTTGAGGAGCGGGCCCCAGGTCTTCCTGACAGCGAAATCATACCCTTCATTACAGGGGCAGGTCTTCATAACAGGGGCAGGTCTTCATGACAGGATCAGGTCTTCATGTGATAGGGGCGAGGTCTTCATGACAGGGGGCAGGTCTTCATGATAGGGGGCAGGTCTTCATGACTGGATAAGGTCTTCAGGATAGGGGGCAGGTCTTCAGGATGGGATCAGGTCTTCAAAACAGGGGGCAGGTCTTCAGGACAGGATTAGGTCTTCATGATGTTATCAGGTTTTCATGATGAAATCAGGTCTTCATGACGGCATCAGGTCTTCAGAACAGGTTCAGGTCTGCATGATGACATCAGGTCTTCATGATAGATCAGGTCTGCATGATGGGATCAGGTCTTCAGGACAAAATCAGGTCTGCATAACGGCATCAAGTCTTCAGGATGGGATTAGGTCTTCTGGATGGCATCAGGTCTTCTGGATTGGATCAGGTCTTCATGATGGGATCAGGTCTTTCTATGGGATCATGTCCCCATGTTAAAATCATATTGTAACAGTCTGTTTATGTAGGAGAATCACTATGATGTGACTCTCTGTTTTACCTAATGAACATATTGTAGCATTGTGTCTAAACTTTTGTTAAACATGGTAGTCTGCAACTTCCAGCTACTGATATCAATCTGTGAGTTGGTGTGAATCGGTTCCCACACTATTTTGATGAGAATGAAATAATTATGACCGAGGTAACAAAATCGATCCTAAAGACTTCAACACAGGTACTTTGTAATTACACAAATGAATGGAAAGAAGACTAGCCACAATTTCTGTAACATTTTTGTGTTCATGCAAGAAAAAAGGCTTGGTGCTAATAATCATTACTTGGACAGTGGCAAAATGTTAGTTTGTTTAAGCTTAATGGATTACACGATTAGCTTTAAAAGTGAATATGGTATCCCACTTATGATAAGGTTTTTATTGACCTTGGCCTTGACCTTGAGGTTATCAATGGTCTTTCCCAAATAATCCTGATAACATCACATATACCATGTCTTTTTGAATGAAAAATACTCAGACTAATGTGCACACAAGACAAGGTCAGTCCAAGTAACCTTGACCTTCAATGTCATCCAATCATATCTCAGAAAAGTTATAGGACGTATATAAGACATGAAGTTTCTGACACCTGCCATGAGCCTGTGGTTGGCGAACGAGCTAAAGGTGAGCAAAAAGCAAAACAAAATCATTCATTATTTGTATTCATTTATCTCGAGATGCATTTTATACAATTTATTTCTATTTTTGTCTAGTAATGTCTCCACTGTCTTAAACAATAATAACTATTTCAGGTCTACAACAAAGCGACTTTGAACTATGGACCACAGCAAGGATCTTGACATGTACCCTGTACAGGATACACATGGATCACTCTGGCTTCCTCGGTCAGGCAGCCTTAATCCGTGTGACCTCCCTTGAAAATACTGCAAACCATCTTCTCTACAGGAGCTGGAGCTAGGGTCACCTGGAGCAAGGGTCATCTGGACCAGGCAACCGAGGAACCACAGATACCACTCAAGTTAACTCTTTGGTGTAAGGCGCTACATGAGATTTCTCGGTGCACTCAGATATTGAACACAGTAGAAGATACTAGTGGATGGAGTTTTAGTCTCCCTGTGGATCTGTCCTGTCACTGTTTGGTGGAGGCTGGAAGACCACAAACGCTACAATATTATACTACTGAATACTTCATGATTACTGCTTCTTCTAAAGTGGCTGTGAAACTGTAACTTATAATCATTACTTTACGCATGTTTGTTTGTAGTTTAATGCAATACTCAGCAGTTTTCCTTTAATTAATCAGGTCTGAATCTAGCAGTGAGTGAGTGAGTTTAGTTTCACTCGCACTCAGCAACATTCCAGCGGTCTGTAAATAATCGAGTCTGGACAAGACAATCCAGTGATCAATAGCACGAGCAATTGGGATAGGATGACCTGTGTCAACCAAGTCAGCGAGCCTGACCACCTGATCCTGTTAGTCGCTTTGTACCACAAGCATGGGTTACTGAAGACCACTTCTAACCCGGATCTTCACGGGTCCTGATTCTAGCAAAGGTGAGTGAGTGAGTGAGTGAGTGAGTGAGTTGAGTTTTACGCCATACTCAGCAATATTCCAGCTATATGGCGGCAGTCTGTAAATAATCGAGTCTGGACAAGACAATCCAGTGATCAACAGCATGAGCATCGATCTGCGCAATTGGGAACCGATGACATGTGTCAACCAAGTCAGCGAGCCTGACCACCCGATCCCGTTAGTCGCCTCTTACGACAAGCATAGTCGCCTTTTGTGGCAAGCATGGGTTGCTGAAGACCTATTCTACCCCGGATCTTCATGGGTCTTCTAGCAAAGGAGTGATTGGAATCATGAACATGCCATGGGGATACAATGACAAGGTCTGACAATCAGATCAATTTGGTCGATTCTTAGGTTCTCAGGGACCAATTCTAATTCTGTACTCTACACACGCATCTTTCACGAACTGTACTTGGTTAAGATTATGAGTTATTTAAACTATCTGTACAAAATAACATCATAAATTAGTTATGTTTTGGGTTAGGGCATACAGTATATAGCATGCTTCACCTTTACCAGCTCACTGCCATAACAAACACACCACAAGGCACCTGCAAAGGGCTGCAGCATATGTTATACACGAAGGCATCAATTCCCCTGTTATAACCTATATAGTTTCTTACAAACCAATGTAAATCCTAAAACATTCATTACAAACCCATTACCAGGGAGTATACGTATTGGGATTAATTACACATGCACTCTCAATAATCTCCAGTCAAAACTTGGGATGACGACTTGACATTTCACAGTATAGTCTTGACAATTATGTTACAAGAATTAATGTCAGACCTGCTACAAGTTGTTGACAGCAGATTGTGAACTTTATGTGGCCAGGAGCATAAGCTTCAGTTTGCAAAACATTTTGAAGCCATGGCATTATAATTAATATTAAATAGCTTATTTCATGGTCCATGAATATCACTGTCTTCAAATACATTACCTACAGTATAGGTGGGTCTGATGTAGGACATTCACAGCATAGCCTCATGACCCACAGCAGAGTGAATGAGTGAATATGGTTTTACGCCGCTTTTAGCACTACTCAAGCAATATTACGGTGGGGTACACCAGAAATGGGCTTCACACATTGAACCCATGTGGGGAATTGAACCCTGGTCTTCGGCGTGACGAGCGAACGCTTCAACCACTAGGCTACCCCACCACCCCAACCCACGTCAGAAGAGCTATCAGGGACAGAATATAATTGCAATATACACAACCCCATATCCCATTTGTTAAACTCATATGAAAATTCATAAATCTGAAAAAAACAACCCATTGGGGAGCAACAGAGAAACATGTATCAGACTCAAGTAAAAGACTCAAGAATTCATCAATGTTAGACATTGTTTATTGTTTTCTGAATATGTTTACAAGATCACAACTGTAATCAGGTCAGGCCATGTAGCAGATGACTATATACAAGTATAAAGGCATATCATAAATCCTGAAAAAGGTCATGCAACTTATTTCCAAATGCAAAAGAGATGTAACACCAGCATGCTGAGAAGACTGGAAATCCTGTTTCAACCAATAAATCTGACCAGTACGTGTGAGTAGAGGAGTTCGACAAGAGGAAGAGAGAGAGGGAGGAGAAGAAGTTCTGTATATGAGTGAACAGTTGCATGTCAAAGCCAGCCCATCACCTGTGGCTGTGAACATGCAAGAGAGGCCATGGCCTCTTGCTCTCTCACCTGGAAGCTGAGCTTTGTCCTTGTCTGTCACCCCGAGCGTTGTCGGCATTTCTCGGTTATCTGAGAGTAGTAACAAATTATAGGATATTTTATATTATTATAGGATATTTATATAGCGCACATATCCAGGCAACTAGTGCATGCTCAAGGCGCTGGTATTTTTCCCCTCGTTCATTGGATGTCAATCGCAACGGCACATCGTATTATCCATCTCAACTCCTTGGGGAGTATACAAAACTTCCAATACGTCAAATCATTGTGGCAACATCAAACATCAACTATTCTCAGTGTAACTAGTCATAACACTTTCAGGAAATTGCATCATCTTGGCAGTATCAAATATATATTGTTCCCAGAGCAACTAGTAACAGAATTTCCAACACCTTCATCGTCGTGGCAACATCAAATATTACTTATTCTCAGTGTAACTAGACATCACCGTCAGTAACCTGAATCATCTTGGCAGTATCAAATATATATTGTTCCCAGAGCAACTAGTAACAAAAATTCCTTCATCGTCGTGACAACATCAAATATTACTTATTCTCAGTGTAACTAGACATCACAGTCAGTAACCTGAATCATCTTGGCAGTATCAAATATATATTGTTCCCAGAGCAACTAGTAACAAAAATTCCTTCATCGTCGTGACAACATCAAATATTACTTATTCTCAGTGTAACTAGACATCACAGTCAGTAACCTGAATCATTGTGGCAGTATCAAATATATATTGTTCCCAGAGCAACTAGTAACAAAAATTCCAACACCTTCATCGTCGTGGCAACATCAAATATTACTTATTCTCAGTGTAACTAGACATCACCGTCAGTAACCTGAATCATCTTGGCAGTATCAAATATATATTGTTCCCAGAGCAACTAGTAACAAAAATTCCTGCATCGTCGTGACAACATCAAATATTACTTATTCTCAGTGTAACTAGACATCACAGTCAGTAACCTGAATTATTGTGGCAGTATCAAATATATATTGTTCCCAGAGCAACTAGTAACAAAAATTCCAACATCTTCATCGTCGTGGCAACATCAAATATTACTTATCCTCAGTGTAACTACTCAGAACAGTCAGTAACCTGGGCCTAGATTTTCTCTCTCAGCGCTAGAGCCATCATCAACAACTGTGCCAGTAATCAGTAACACTTGCTGCATCGCCATTACTGACTAAAGCAGTCAGTTACAGAGTAACCAGTAACAAGAACCATCATTATCGCCATCTACGTGTCAGCATCAACCATCAAGCTTTGATACCTCACTGATTATCTCCCTTAAAGGTTCAGTGGCATTCAGCACAATGTAATTCAATTGTGTTCATTGCTAGGATTTCTCTAAACACGAATCAATGCAAATTTTGTAAGACAACAATACAAAAGCTCCCTAATGTGACTGCTTCCATTTACTGATGGTGTTGGAGACACATTGTTTACATTGACTCCGCATCTCTCTAATCACCCATCCTGTTTCCATGAGTCACCTACCGAGGTATAACATACTGGAAAACTCTTGATTTACACTGACTGACTGACTGAGTTTTGGTTTTACGCCGCTTTTAGCAACATTCCAGCAACATCACAGCGGGGGACACCAGAAATGGGCTTCACACATTGTACCCATGTGGGGATTCGAACCTGGGTCTTCGGCGTGACGAGCCAACGCTTTAACCACTAGGCTACCCCACCGCCCTTTTGATTTACACTCTTCCATTGTACTACATGTACTATACATTCTTAGCACTTACAGAGCTAGGACGAGCAGCGTCAATCATCCTACCAATATACATGCATCAGGATAAACCTGGGAAATCTTTTGTTTGTTTTGTCATTAACATCATCCACAACTCTAAATCCTAAACCTGCTGGTTTGAGCACACATGAAAGCTAACAAACCGTTGAAGGAGGACAAATTTCCCCAAAATAAAGAAATTTAACATGACCTAAAATGAGTGTTCCAAAATATCCTCAGAAATGTCTTTATATGTAATATGCAGTTTTGGGTGAGTGAGTGAGTTTGATTTTATGCCACAACTAGCAGCATTCCAGTAATATCCAGAATCGAACTTTGACCTTCTGCTGAGTGAGCACCTCAGCCACTTGGCTACCCCACATGCACAGTTAAGGTGGAAACATGTCACACACATACATTGTCATGTAATAAACAGAACTATGAGTGATACCATGTATGTTGGTGCTATAGGCTGATGCTGAAGGCTGGCAATAATAACAGAGATGTAGAACTGAGTGAGTCTAGTTTTACGCCACTTTTAGCAATATTCCAGCAATATCACGGAGGAGGACGCCAGAAATGAGCTTCACACATTGTACCCACGTGGGGAATCGAACCCGGATCTTTGGCATGACCAGCGAATGTTTTAACCACTAGGCTACCCCACCGCCCCTGTAGAACTGAAGCGACAACCTTTCTGCACAATGTCTTCACCAACCCCTACACCCATGAAAGCCGAATAATTAGTCAAGCGAGAAATTTCTACAGTTCCTGCATATTGCACATGGCCTGCAATTATCATTCCCATCACCCTGCCATTCAATGGCTGCAGCAGCGCGAACAACGACGATTACAACTCCGCACACTGAGTGCACATCAGTGTGACAAGTAATGACGTTGTGTTACATGTGAATAATTAGGGAAAGTAAACAAATGTCTGCAAATAGGTTCTGAAAGGTAGAACTGCGTGACATAACCATGTGTCATGGCAACGCACTGATGCTTCTGGTAGCAGTTATGGTTTACATAAACTATATTGTCACAGTCACCTGATTTGTCATGATATATTTAGCATGGAAATATTCAATATATTGTCCCAAGATTATCGAAAGGGAGTTGTCATGACAACTGTAAATAATACCAGTATTGTCACATGATCATAGGTATGTAATATTACCTGAATTGTCACATGATCAAGGGTAGGGAATATTACCTGAATTGTCACATGATCAAGGGTAGGGAATATTACCTGAACTGTGACATGATCAAGGGTAGGGAATATTACCTGAATTGTCACATGAACACAAGCATCAAATATTTCCTAAAGGTTTAATGACGTAAGTATAATCTGAACTAGAAGTGTAGAATTTTGCTTGTTGTTAAGGTAGGGTTTACACTGACTTAAACTATTGTACATAAATCAAAACCATGTGAAGTCACTAACTACACAGGGGAATATTACCCATATAGTTACTACAGCTGACCGATTCCGGTATAAATATTTGCCAGGATGATAGCCAGGCATCACCAGAACCAAAACACAGCCACCAGATCTTCCACTGGGGAATGAGCCCCATGTCCAGATATCAGATATGGATTAAAGACATTACAGTTCAATGAGTGCTTGATAAAGGTCAGATCAACTCCAGAGATGTGTTTGGTTACATTGGATAAAGCGCTCGCAGCGAAGTCAGGCATTTCCAACTGGGAAACTGATGAAAACCCTCCTGGGAATCCACCATTTGTAGACTGTAAGGCACAGCAATCATTTCTGTCACTTGAGATTTTATGTGTCAATACTCATTTCACATTTGGACAAGGACAGACGTACTCACCCAGCTTGTTGAAAGTCTTTTCTTTCTTTGGTAATTTGTCAATGCATGGAAATCCGCCACACTCGGAGAAGCAAAGCGACTTGTTAAGGTAGAGGAAGAAGATGACGAGGAGCACGAGGAACGCCCCTACTGCTCCGAGGAAGGCAACAGCCTCAAGGGGAACTGAGAACACAAATAACAAGCATTAATTACAGCACAGGAACATCTATACCTCGGGTACATAAATTATTATCTTACCTTCATGTAAAATAATTTAATTTTATTGGTCAATGAGGCTTTAAACAAGTTTCTGTGTCATCCCACCAAACTCTCCTCTGAGAAGCTGTATTGCTAACAATCATATGATGTCATAATATGACACATGCAGAGCACGGAAATTGAGTGGGTGAGTTTAGTTTTACGCTGCACTCAGCAATATTCCAGCTATATGGCAGCGGTCTGTAAATAATCAAGTCTGGACCAGACAATCCGGTGATCAACAGCAAGAGCATCGATCTGCGCAATTGGGAACCGTTGACATATGTCAACCAAGTCAGCGAGTCTGACCACCCGATCCCGTTAGTCGCCTTTTACGACAAGCATGGGTTACTGAAGGCACATTCTAACCCGGACCTTCAGGTCCACGGAAATTGAAACCATTTGATTACCTGTTTTTGAGTTCACTTTGTACACATTTATTTTAACAACTTTCACAGTTTTATTGAAACTATTTTATACATTGCATTGTTATTTATGGCAGTTTTAAGCTTGTCAGAATATGTTTTACTGATTTTGAAAATCCAGTCGAGAGACAGATGCCATTTTGTTTACATGTCATATAGTTGGTTGCGAGCTTATCAATCTTCAAAATAAAATAAAATGGTATTTTGTACAAATAACATGGTGGTAAGATAATTACGTTCTTAACTTCTCCCTCACCCCTTGCCTACCAGCTTGGATAACACTGCTACAAAGAGGGTTGAGTCCCAATCGGGATTCGAACCCACACCTTCAGAGTCAGGGACCTGATCTGGATGGGGTAAACGGCTGACTTTGTGTGCTGGCAACTAGGTGCCTGACTCTGAAGGTGTGGGTTCCAATCCCGGTTAGGACTCAACCCAACAAAAGTACAAGAATCTGTACTTTAATGAGACAGTGAAATCCCAATTATAGCATGCGTTACATTTTAGCATTGTTTATTCAAATGTTTACATAGTCATGTGTCAAGCACCGTTGTGTCAAATTTATTTTTGTCTCAAAGTAAAACTGGGATTTGGTGTATTCCTTATTTACTCGTCATTTTGTATTTGTAGTGTTTGAGGGTTGTGGGGTAGCCCAGTGGTTAAAGCGTTCGCTCGTCATGCCGAAGGCCCGGGTTCGATTCCCCACATGGGGACATTGTGTGAAGCCCATTTCTGGTGTCCCCCGCCGTGATATTGCTGGAATATTGCTAAAAGCGGCGTAAAACCCTACTCACTCACTTGTAGTGTTTGACTGTACTTCCTACAAGCACCTTTGTAGTCCATGGTAAATCTCAAATTCAGGGAAAGTGACAAAAATGTACCGCCACGTGCACCCTAGCACTCTATGGTAAATCTTCATTCTAGACAATGTCATGAGATGACCACTAGCATACAATTCCCTACCTATCAGTAAAATATAAAACCAAGGCTGTACTCTCTGAAGTGCATGATGTCGGTTGGAGGTGAGTGAGTGAATGAGTTTGGTTTCACGCTGCTTTTAGCAATATTCCAGCAATATCACGGCAAGGGACACCAGAAATGGCCTTCACACATTGTACCCATCGAGGGATTCGAACCCGGGTCTTTGGCGTAACGAGCGGACGCTTTAACCACTAGGCTACCCACCGCCCCTGGGTTGGAGGTAGGTGGATAACAACAGTTTGTATGATAATGTTTTATTCTCCATAAACTTAACCCCTTCCTGCATGAGACATTGGAACTAACATCCAGGAAATCAATAAACATGGTAAATAATAATGGACATATTCAAGTGAGATTGACTTGGTCACTGATAAAGACTGTACAGGTTACAAGTGTTGTTACTTGCATCAGTGCCATCCATTCAGTGAGTGAGTGAGTATGGTTTTATCCTGAGTGACTATGGCTTTACAGCATCAGAAAAAACCCTTAACTTCAACAAATGTTGGAGATTTTCACTACATATGTCGCTTTTAGTGAGTGAGTGAGTGAGTTAAGTTTTACGCCGCTTTTAACAATATTCCAGCAATATCACAGCAGGGACATCAGAAATGGGCTTCACACATTGTACCCATGGGGGGAATCGAACCTGGACTTGTCCAGCGAACACTTTAACCACTAGGCTACCCAAGTGGGCTCTCTCTTAGTTTAAACTATATTTCTCAAGATTACCATGAACAAAGACACCTGCATACACTGTGGGTGTCTGCTGTAACTGTTTGATCAACTGAATGTTGCACTCCTGTAACAATGTTGGCAGCCTTGCAATGCCTGTAATTGTTTCTGTACTGTAAACCTGATGATACAAAAAATATATTATGCCCACGTAAAAATGTTTATTAATGCGAGTATGAGGAACTAGTATTTTCACATTAATTTTATGCTCAATTAAGTTTATGAATATTCATACATGAATACAGAGGCAAAGTTCAGCTGTGTACTTAAGTACACCTAGGTACACGCTAAAATCCACAAAATAATGACAGAGCGTGAGTTCTCTCCTGTGGTTTCAACTTAATGTTCAGCGACAGATTACTGTTTCAGATCATACTGTGACGTAACTTCATAATGCTATCACAACATAACATTCATGAACACTGCAGTGTTACATATACATAATCTCTGTGTGTGTGGTATCTGTGTGTTTGACTGACTGACTGAGTTTTGATTTTACGCCGCTTTTAGCAATATTCCAGCAACATCACGGCGGGGGACACCAGAAATGGGCTTCACACATTGTACCCTTGTGGGGATTAGAACCCGGGTCCTCGGCGTGACGAGCCAACACTTTAACCACTAGGCTACCCCACTGCCCCATACACTATTAAAGAAAAGTTAGGATATTCAACAAAAAGGTGTCACAACTGTTGCTTCAGACCTATCAGATCAAGAGATTTGATGACAGAGTTGTTTGTCAATTCTTTTAACAGAAAATGCCTAGTCACAGACCACAGTTACGCTTGGAGCATTTCAGCCACCCTGGTATCACAATAGCCATCACACTACAATAACAACCCAGGCAATATAATCTCAGACAGATGACAACACACCTGGCATATATTGCCAATTTACCATAACACTTTTCCAACTCTTGACAACACACACATTCCCAATCATTAAACAATCAATAACATCAAAACCTGTGACATCAGATGGTGCCCGGTAATAATTGTAAACTTCACAGATGACATTGGTTATCAGTGCCGTGCATCAATCTTCACTATTATAACTGCCATTATTGGTTTGTTGGACAACTCTATGGAATGTGCAGAGCTCAATGTGTCACTGTAATCCAGTAGGGTGAGTTATTGTCCAGTATGATTCACAAATTAATGTCAATGAAATACAAGTAATTTATATGTTATCTTTTGCTTATGCAAATAGTTTCTCGGCATTAAAGCTCACCTTCACATGTATCAAATTTTGCGCGTCCATGAAGTTTACAAGATACATAAGGTAATCCTAATTTCTGCACACAAAATGATGCCTTATATGACAAGAGTAAGTGAGTTGGGTTGTACTACGCTTTTAACAATATTACAGCAATATCACGGCAGGGTACACCAGAAATGGACTTCACACATTGTATCCATGTTGGGAATCGAACCCGGGTCTTCAGCGTGACGAGCTAACGCTTTAACCACTAAGCTCCCCAAACGCCCCTATATGACAAGAACACAGGTGAGCTGAGCATAAACAACATTTCAAACTCTTACAGACAAACTCACTTTGTTACATACTGCTACTTCAAAACGCCCAGGGAGGCAAAACTGGTAGTCAATCTTAACATGTTATATTTGGGATTACACTTTCTTAGTAAAGTACAGATTCTAGTACTTTACTCAGAAAGTGTAATCTCAAATATAACATATGTTACATTTGACCACTTTCTAAATGGCATTGTTAATTTCATATTCAATCATGATTGTCAAAATGGCAATGCCTAAAGAATATACAGTATTAAAGTGAGTGAGTTTGGTTTTACGTGGCTTTTAGCAATATTCCAGCAATATCACGGCGGGGGGGACACCAAAAATGGGCTTCACACATTGTACCCTTGTGGGGAGTCAAATCCAGGTCTTCGGCGTGACGAGCGAACGCTGTAACCACTAGGCTACCCCATTGCCCCATACACTATTAAAGAAAAGTTAGAAAATTCAACAAAAAGGTGCCACAACTATTGCTATTTTATATCGTTTATGAGATAAGTAGTTTAACAGTAACAGGGACATCTGACCGAGATTTATATTAGTCACTGAATGTCAGAGACAAAGACTTTATTAGATGAATACCCAAAGTCCATCACATCGTTTACCATGAAAATGAATATTGCATGAATCTGCCTCTATGCAAGACAATCCAAGATTTGACAAGGCATAATCAAATGTCCAATAGTCTATTCCTTCCCATTCTGCCTACAGGGCAGCGCCAAATTTGTTGAGAGTGGTTGGTAGTTGCTGACGGCAATATACATGCCATCCAAGGATATCCCAGACATGTTTGATGGGTGACAAGTCTGAAGTGAGTACTGGCCATGGTAAGATGGTTATGTTCTCCTGTAGGAGAACTCAGAAACAATACGAGACCTGTGTGTAATGTGATGGTCCGTCAATCGTGGGATAACAAGTGGATGTCAGGCATGCAGGTTCCATTACGTAGCCATCTGACCACTCTCTCTATCACCTGTAGCTCTGTAAAGCTCATCTCCAATTTGACAGGTACTTTGACAATAGTTTGTAACACAGTGGGTCTGATGAAATGGTCAGTAGGGGGTGAAACGGTATGCTCTTACCACGGTACAGTACGTATTGCGGGAAAAGGCCTTCAGTTCGGTCCGTTTCGGTATATGAGATATGATCATAATGCAGAAAAGAAAAGAAACGCACAGATTTTGACAATACTATTCGATTTCTAGACATTTTAGAACAGGTTAAAAAACTTAATAAATTGACGGTACGAAAA